AATAAATAAATAAGATTACCCACATAGTGAATCAGAAAAATTCTAAGTGAAGCATTTGACAAAATTTTACTATGCTTTTGTTGCTAGAAAATATTGTAGACAAGTCAGACACCCAGACTGCAGGTTAATACCCTCCTAAACACCAATGTTTTAAAATTCCATGTTTTATTGCTTCTTGGCCTTTTGGCTAACATCAATGTAAAATTCCATGTTTTAAAATGTTATACTTTTTTATTATGTGTTGAACATGTTGTAGATAAGTAAAAATAGTAATCATCCCATCAAAAGGCATTCTTGATGTACATTAAGCACTACTAGTGTTTATTTTTTAATATTTTTGTCGGTCGTGGGGTGTGAACTAAGGGCCTGGATACTGTCCCTGAGCTTTTGTGCTCAGGGCTAGCACTCTTCCACTTTGAGCCATAGCTCTAATTCTGGTTTTCAGGTAGTTAATTAGAGATAAGAGTCTCATGGCCTTTCCTGCCTGGGCTTGCTTCAAACCACTATCCTCAGATCTCAGCCTCCTGAGTAGCTAGGATTACATGCGTGAACCACCAGCTCCTGGCTAGCATTTATTTCTTATAGTCATTTTTATAGGCATAGACATTGCCTATATAGTAGTCCAATGGTATGTCAGTCATGATAAATGAGATTGTATTATGCAAACTGTTATAACTTCCTTCTTGACTGTTGAAGGTTAAAAACCTATATATGAACATGGCAATAGACTGCTACAGGTTTATACTCTATAACATATTTTTGTTTGATGATATTTAATTTCACAAATCCTCTACATTGAGCATATAATTTTTTCAAAACTAATGCAATTTAAAAATGTTTGTGGTTCCAGGGTTTGAATTCCTGTCCTGGCGCTTACTACTGAGCCATACCTCCAGCCTTGATTATTGCTTATCATTTTTTAAATAGATTCTTGATTCCTGCTTAAAAATGTACCTGGACACAGTCCACTTATATTGGGCTTCCTGTAGTTGGGAAAACACACACCCTGCTTCCAGTTTTTCACTGGGAGATGGGATCTGCTGAAGCTGGCGTCAGAACCATAACCCCAACAATTTCATCCTCCTAAGATTACAGACATAAGCCGATAGCACACAACTTACAACAATGTAATTTTGAGTATATTTACAACAGATGTTTTGTATATGCCTTACTATTAAATTCCAGATGTGAAATTACTAGATCAAAACCCTCAAAATGTGTTGTCAAATCAGAGAACTTAATTCTCAAACAGTGGGATACGCCAATTTTAAAATTATTTTAATTTGTATGTCTCATAATGTATGGTTTACCTGCTGTCTTCTTTCTGTGAGTTTCCATTTACATCCTTACTTACTTTTCTAGACAGAATAGCCTTTATTTTCTTACAGATTTTTATGTTTTTTGGGGGGTTTTTGGGTCCGGTCGTGGGGCCTGAACTCTGGGCCTGGGCGCTGTCCCTCAACTCTTCAGCTCAAGGCTAGCGCTCTACCACTTGAGCCACAGTGCCACTTCCAGCTTTTTTCTTTTTGCTTATGTGGTGCTGAGGAATCGAACCCAGGGCCTCATGCATGCAAGGCAAGCACTCTACCACTGAGCCACCTTCCCAGCCCTTTTCTTACAGATTTTTAAGAATTCACTATATTTTAAGAAGTGAAGGTGCTCCATTTTTTAATCTTAATTCCATATTCGTTATCAATCACTTGAATGAAGAAATAGACAGCACAATGCCCTTGCAGGGGAGATGTAATTAATGTTGGCTTCCAGGGAAGTTTCAGATTGAAACAATGAGTCAAAGGAATCAATGAGTAGGAATCAATGAGAAGTACTTTGAACTTGTCTAAAAATAACTACATAGTGCATAGTGATACAGAAGCTGCCAATATAGCAGTTACTAAACAATTGCTATATCCAAGAAATATGCTAGTCTTTTTTCCCATATATTAACTCCAATCTTTATAACAAATCTGTAAAATAGATATTATCATCTTCAATACAAAATCTAAGACTGAGAAATTAACATACAAAAGATGAGACTGGTAAAGCCAGGATTCAAACTTAGACCATTTGTCCCTGTTGGCCATGCTGTTTACACTGTGACTTGAAGATAGATAGCTTAAAAACAAGACTTGTGAAAAGATTCAGCAGAACATGAGAGACAGAACAACAAATCCATTTTCCACTAGTGAGCTTCAGATAAGGGAAGTTACCACCCACATTACTTAGTTCAGTTAGTGTAGATCTAGAATATTGCCTAAATTCATTGTTACTATACTGTAAAATGTTATTTGAGCATGGATATTTAGCTCAGTGGTAGAGCCTACTGTGCTCAAGTCCCTGATTTGATCCTCAGCAACACACACACAAAAGGTATAGGGGTTCAGTTTCTTTATCATCATCATCATCAGTAGTTGTAGCTATGTGTCTGTGCAAAATATTCTGGAAGCCAACCTCAAACAGACAGTTCCTAGTGGAAGTAGATGATTATAAGACATATAGAAACTATATAGAGAAATCTGTAAAGTGTTAGAACTCTTCATGCCTCTGTTACTTGTTCCTGTCTAGGTCTGATTTGTTCAGTTGGCTTTTTGATATGGCTAAAAAGAAATTTTTTAATTATTATAATTGGCTTTGTTACATTTTGACATTAAAATGTGCTGAGACCATAAGAAACAATCATCAATGCTAATATATATATGTATGTGTGTGTGTGTGTGTGTGTGTGTGTGTGTGTGTGTGTGTGTGCTTTTTTGTTATTAGAAAAGGCAGTCATAAACTTTGTTTTTATAAAACACTTTCAGATTCAGGATGTAGACCTAAAGGTAAGTGACCCTATCTATGAAGCATCTCACTTTAAGTGAATTGAATGTTGGTGAATTGCGGGTTGACGCAGATGGAGCACCTGCAGGCAGGCTGCAAGGAGACTTGCAGTACCCCACCACACAGGGCGGCTCCTGCAAGAGCATTGGCAGCCACTGCAGCAGGTGCATGAGAGCTATTCCATATCTGTTCTTATCTACACGCTCTCATGGAGGTTTTCAACCATGGAAGATTAGTTCTTATGAACTACAAGGCTGGTAAGACTCTCTACAGGCAGCCGAAATCCACTGAGCAAACCTTTTTCTTAATGAGAAGCAATTCCACTTGAATTAGTTCTCCCACATATCTTCAGCATGTAAAAACATGTGTGGGTCTAGTATTTCCTTTATGTGTTTGTAGGTCAGGTAGACAAAACAAAACTGCACTCATGTAACTTCTAATACTTCTATGCTTTCAATTATACTAAACAGCATGCCTAAATATTGTCATTGTAAAGTTAAATTTGACAGTGTAAAGTTTCTCTGGAGTTTTATGAAAATAGCCTACTAGAAGACAAAATGAGCTATGTAGTCTCTAAACTACAGAAAGGCCATTTCTCTCTGCATCCCTGGGGTATGGGAGAACTCCCCAACTGAAGAAAGAGGAAAGAGTTTGATTGGAAGTTGACAAGCCCAGAGTCACGACTGTACCTTAAAGCAAGTTTTACTTGAAAAAGGAGAGTCTACTTTTTAAAATTTTTTTAAATCAAGCTAGACACAAATGGCTTACACCTAACTACTCAAGAGACTGAGAGCTAAGGATCATGGTTCAAAGCCAGCCTGCACAGAAAAGTCTGTAAGATTTTTATCTCCAGTTAACTACCAAAAAGCCAAAAGAGGAGCTGTAGCTCAAGTGTAGAGCACAGGCTTTGAGCAAAACAGTTCAGGGACAGTACCTAGGCCCAAGTTTTGAAATCACTCTATTAAAAGACAACAGAAGTTGTCTTGAGTGCAATTCTGATTCTGGTACCTTAGTTATTTAAAGGGTATTCCTCTCTTCCCTAAAGAAACATCATTAGATTAATGAGATATGTGCAATCATTATGCATCAATTACAATATCAAATTAAAAAGTTAACGCTGTACTTTCTAAAAGAAAATCGAGCATATAGTTTCCCACCCCATAAAAACCTAAAGAAAATTATGAAATGTGGATGAATAACAAGACTATCATTACCAAGACTGGCAGCTCCATAAAAACAAAGACCATGACCGTACACTCACCACAAACATGCCATTGCTCACTCGGCAACGTGCCTGATACAGAGCTTATTTTACCCAGCAAAATTTGTTAGAATTGCCAAGTGAACACTTAAAGAGAGCAGTGATTTATTTTCAAGTGACAGAACATTATTGTGTAATAACAGGTGAAAATGGTGGAATTTTTGCAAATGAGGTCTGATTTTCCTGTAATGATGTTTTTATTTTGATACCCAGATTGTTAGACTACTTTAAAAAACATTGTTCATTGAATGGCTCATTTATTTTGCACCATTCTTGAGTATCTTATGATTCTGTGTTATTTAAAATATGAAACTAAAATGATTCTACATGATTTTCTTTTTAAAATTCTCTGTTTTTGCATTTAAAGGAGGATCCTTGTGTAACCTTTCAGCTGAAAGTACTTTTTGTTTTTATTGTGAAATTGTCCTATGGAAAGTACTCAATCATATAAATTTAGAAAATTTTACTGAGATTTCCAAACCCATTTTAGTTGAGATAGGTTACAATGAAAGCAATGTAATATTAAGACATTAAACTGCTGACATGCAGGGTTGTGTTAGGAATGAGAATAGCAGCTTTACATTCTTGGGAAAGAAAAAAACAAAAAACATGTAACAATAAGTTTTTACAAAATTCAGGAGTCATTCGTCAGATAGTTGCATGAGACTTACCTGTGGTTACAAATCATCCCCACCTGCCTGTTGCTATTAAGGTTGTGAAGTTTGATCCTTTGTTACCAGTGTCTCTAGAACTTCATTCCCTTCAGCTGCTGACATACTGTGGTCAGAAAGTGTGTGCATGTATGTGGATCAGTGCACATTTGAAAAGCGTGCAGTTCGTGATTAATCATCTAGTGGTCTCTTACGTTGGATACTGTTCACTCATGAGTTTGTGTTACTTATGAATTTATCTTTCCCTTTAGGTAAAGAGGATGAATATCCAAAGAAACCTCTGGGACAACTTCCACCTGAATTTCATTCTGGTGGCACTCATCACCTGAGCAATGGACAAAGAAGTGTCGGCATTCCTAGTCCCCACATAAGCAGCAGAAGAGAAAGCGGGTCATCACCTCACAGAAAACAGGAGCACTCCCCTCACCATCAGAGTAGAGCTGGCACACCAGAAAGAGTCAGGCAGCTCAGGAGGAAATCCGTGGACGAGGATAGTAAAAACATAAAAGATGAGGCAGATGTTCAACGAAAACATTCAGGTCCACAAGACAATTCCAGGCCTTATAACCATGCAGCAGCTAACCAAAATAGCAATGCTATTTCAAATATCAAGAAGGAATTTGTGCCCAAGTGGAATAAACCATCAGATAGTTCAGCTATTGAAAGAACTTCCAAATATACCATAGAAGGCAAAAGTAGATCAGTACATCCCACACTTTCTGTGTCAAGTTCTGCTGAAAGCCGAGTATCAAACACAAGGCAAAAGATGAAGGTTTTGGATACTGGTGATGGGAAGCGGGGCTCCAATGCATCGCAGTATGATAATGTACCTGGAAGTGAAAATGAAAATGGGGCTTTTGTTGAAGAGGCACTTGAAAGGGCTTGCTCTCAAAATCCAAGGAATGTCTTTTACTCTAACAGTCCAAGAAAGCATGCTGAGCCAAGCTCTAGTCCATCAAAAGTATCCAATAAGTTTACTTTAAAAGTGCAGCCTGCAAGCTATATAAGATATCCATCCCAGTTAGAAGGAGAAGATTGTGGGCCCGCAAATCCCCCCTCATACAGCAATCCCCCTATCTACCATGGACATTCTCCAAAACACATCCCTGCGGCTACCAGCAGCATCGTGTCTCCACAGATGGGCCCTGTGACTCAAATTCATCCTTCCAGGAGACCTTACGGTTCCACTCTTTCCATTGATAATTCTCCAGAGAAATCTTACACCCGCCCAACTCCTGTTGTTCTACCCTCTAGCCGAATAGAAGTCCTTCCTATTGATCTTGGTGCTGGGGGGTATGTGGGCAACTCGGGATCACCAAAGAATGGGAAATTCATCATTCCTCCAGTGGACTATTTGCCAGATAACAGAAAATGGTCCGAAGTTAGTTATCCTTACAGGCCTGAGATGCACGGACAATCCTGGACTCGCGATGCTAGCCACGGCCACTTAAGTAATTTACCAAAATACACAGCTTTTCAGCATGTGCCCTTTCAGGACCATGGCCTCCCAGCGGTGTCAGTGGATGGTCCAGTGCGGTATAAAACCTCACCAGCTGTGGAAGATGCTGGTCCAGCTGGGTATCAGTATGCAGGGCCCTCGCCTCCAACATATCACTACAGAAAACGAGAGGGGCTTTCAGTTCAAGAATCAGTATTGCTGTGAGAATTGCTCTCTTCTTGCTGAAGTCGAGAATAGAAACCATATGAAAACTACATTGCTATGTTTATAATTGCCAAAGCAGTATTTTCTGTGTTGTAAACGACTCGCACAATGCTAATGTATGTTAGTAATAAGAGTATATGGAAATGTGTTCATCCCCATATAGATGCTGCTTAAGATGAGCGTTTTAAATTGCATCATCACTGAATATGTTAAAGAGGATTTAACCCGGAAACATAGCAATAGCACTTAGGGCTGCACGCACAGTAATGATTCTTTACCCAGTTTCATTTAAGTCTTTCTCCAAAACCTAACCATTTTTACTTTGTTGACCCATCCTATTTTGACTGTTGCTACAAAGCACTGAAAACAGTAGAAGAAATATTTTTAAGACTACATGTAGTGTATCTTTTAATAGATGTTATAGGCATCTATGCATATACATATTTGAACACAGAACTGAATACTTTTTAAAGACTACTTTTCATGTAGACCCATCAAATGTTGATAATCCCCCCACCTTAACTTGTCTTTCAGTTCACTTTTTCCCCTTTATATTTTTTTACCCAGATCCTAAGCTGACTAGTTATTAATTCATCTCAAAAATGCTCCTCATTCTCCATCAGTTGCTGCCATTTTATTTCCATGGGGCACTTAAAGATATTGGAGAGAACGATTTACCCACTTCATGGTGCTTCAAGTTTGAGGCGGTTCACCTAAGTTTATGGCTAGAGATGCAGCCCTCCCAAGATGGGTCTTGTGTGTGCACGTCCTTGACGGCTCCTGCGCTCCAGGCGCCGGGTAGGCCGATCCCTGCCCGGGTGCTGGGGGCACGCTGCGGCTTGGCGCCCCCCACGCAGAGGACCTTGTGCAGTTAGTGTTGACACAGCACTCAGGTGGCAGAAGGAAGGAATGCTTCTGAAGATCATTTGAAAGCAGGATTAATGATACAGCTACTTGTCACTGTGTCCCTTAAACTTTCAAGAGGGCCTCACCTTAAAGTGAGGGCCTCTGGTGACCAGTCTCTGAAGAATAATATAATCAATAGAAATTGCTAGTTATTTGGACCATTGCATTATCCATGTTAAAATTGTGGGGAAAAATCTACTTAAGGATAGGCATCTAAGATTTTGATGTGTTTTTTTTAAATATGGTTTGACTCTTATGCTTTTGAATTTTTTTTCTTTTGTAGTGAAAAAATCAAGTTTGTAGTTAAAAGAAAATCAGTGGTATCTATAAGAATATTCTATCAGGGTGTTGGCGATTTATAACTATAATCCCTGGCTACTCAGGAGGCTGAGATACCAGGATTGCAGTTTAAGTCAGCCCAGGCAGAAAGTAGATGAAACTCTTAACCTTCAGTTATCCAGAAGAAGGCTGGAAGTGGAGGTTTGTAGCTCAAGTGGTGGAGTACCAGCCTTGAGCAGAAAGCCAAGTGAGAGCATGAGGCTGAGTTCAAGCCCAGAACCAGCACAAATTAAATAAATAAATAGTCTGTACACTACAGTTAACGAGAGAGAATTACTTTGTATTTAATTGGAGTGCTTGTTTTCAACATGACCGTGCTCATATTGGATAACAGAGAAAGTAGAGGGTCTAACATTGGTGGTTCTTCCTATTGCAAGTGGGGAATTTAAGCTTTTGAGGTACAAAATGTGTCTTAAAATGAGAGTAACATTTGTTTAGCTAGTGAATGTGGCTATTTTTTGTATATAATGAGTCTAATGTAATTTTAATCGACTTGGTAATTATGTTATTAAATGGCAAAACAAATGCAGTGTATTAAAACTATAAACACTACACTGAAACTGAACAAAATCCTGCTAAAATAACTGGGCTCTTGATTTAGATCATGTGGAAGCTGAGAAATAAATGTATATAAAAAATGTAGCTGAAGATATTCATTCCACTTTTTAAACTATGATTTTGTGACTTGTAATAAACCAAGCTGTACAATTTAGTTTATGAAAGCAGCACCTGAGCTGTTTCAAATATATATCAACAGTGATAAATATTGTAGATTTATGTATATATATTCAATATATATACACACACACTATTTTCTTATGTCATCTCTGACTTTTTATCTGTATACTTTTTTCAATGTGATTGTTTCTAACATGCTAAAAGTTACAAGTATATTTTGTTTTGTGTCTCCTATGTGCATTTTTTTTTCATTTGTCAAGAATGCTGCATCTCTGATGCTTCCAAGGCTAATTCTCTCCTAACTGGCTGTATGTGGCCAGTGTTCGCCTGCAGGACTTCATGTATGTTATACTTGTGTCATGTTTTAATTCCCAGGAAGACTGTATGTAGAACTGTATTACCTTCCTTTATTTAATGACATTATTGATAGCAATAAGGTATTTCCAGTTTTCCCCGTTATAAAATGTAGTTCTCTATGTGAGGTTTTTAAGTAGGAAAATTTAATTTGAAATTATTTTGCCACATATCATTTTACTCTTTGAAATTTATTTTTAATAAAAGATAAGTGAAATAAATAAATACATATTGGCAAAGTGGGTCAAAATATACTTAAGAAATACAGTAAGGGCTTCCAAGGTGTGGAAATTGATTTATCTCTAAGTAACATGTGCAAGGTATATTTGCTATAATTTCTTCATGATAGTTTTGGCTAACATAATAAGCAATGTTGTTTATGATTTTATTTTTACTATTTTGTTTTTAGCATTTAGTTTGAGAAGTTAAACTACATTCAGGATCTCAAAGAGTTTTTAAACTTGCTCTTTCAAATACATATATAAATGTATGTGTATATGTACATGTATATACATATATGTGATTTTAAAATATGGACATCTTAATAGTAAGAGCCTTATATAATTCACATATCAAAGTATCAGTGATAGATTTTTGAAAGAAGCAATTCAATCAAAAATATTTTAACTGGGCTGGGAAGTTGGCTCAGTGGTAGAGCGCTTGCCTTGCATGCCTGAGGCCCTGGGTTCGATTCCTCAGCACCACATAAGCAAAAAGAAAAAAACCGGAAGTGGTGCTGTGGCTCAAGTGGTAGAGCGCTAGCCTTGAGCTGAAGAGCTGAGGGACAGCGCCCAGGCCCAGAGTTCAGGCCCCACGACCGGACCCAAAAAAAAAAAATATTTTAACTTTCTTTTATTGAAACTGTTAGTACTGAATGTTGCCATATACACAAACTTGGGTCCCATTACAAGCACAAAAACTGTGTGTAGTCAGTACTTTGTTCAACTTGTCCTTTTCCTGACTAGAAGATGCCATGTGTGTCTGTAGTGCTAGACAGACACTCTACCACTTGAGACATGCCTCCAGACCTACCTTTTTGGCTGTTTTGTAGGTTGAAGCTGGCAAACTTTTCTGCCCAAGCTAGCTTCAAACCACAGTCCTCCAAGATTGTAGTTGCCTGAATAGCTAGATTACAGGTGTGAACCACCAGCATCGGAATGCTTTTTAACTTATTACAAGTGCAAGTAAGCATAACTGCCACTCTTTTATACATGAGAAGGCTGTGAAACAAAGGGACTAATTTTAGATATTTTTAATTTGTTTTTGTCAGTCATAGGGCTTGAACACAGGACCTTTGCACTGTCCTGTGCTCTTTTGCTCAAGGCTAGCACTCTACCACTTTGAGTCACAGCTCCACTTCTGGTTTTCTGGTGGTTAATTGGAGTCTCAGGGACTTCCTGCCTGGGTTGGCTTTGCACCTCAATCCTGAGATCTCAGTCTCCTGAGTAGTTAGGAGTACAGGAATGAGCCACCATTGCAGGGCCTAACCTTAGATTTTTTTTTTTTTTAAGTGTGGGCCTTGTTGTGCTTTAGAATTGTTTGGTGAACTTAAAATACCTTTGTGCTCTCATCCCAGGTCACCTAAATCATAATATCTGGGCTAGAACTTAAGTCATCAGATGGTTGCAGTTCCCCTTATAACTTAATTATTAAGCTACCTCTTTAAAAAAAAAAGAAAAAAAAGTTCCTCCAAAGCTATCTTGTATTCCCACTGGGGTAACTCAGAAAGTTTGACATTAGGAAAGTTAGGAGGATTCCACTGGTAACATTACTGTCAGAAGGCCGCATTTTTATAGTCTGTCTCTGTAAGTGACATACTCTCGAGAAGCCACTTTAAAACCTAAGAGCTGAGAAGATACTTAACAGTCTAGTCCTCCATTTGACCAGCCCTTCGTTTTATTGAGCATCTACAACATACAAGCGTCTGAGCTAGGTTCATGTAGGAGGTTTGAGACATCTCTGCAGCATTGTCTTGGCACTAATTTGCCCAGGTTGTTACCAGAGGCACAGAAGAAGGGCCAAGAGGTGAGCCCAGCAGAGAGGCAGGGGTAAGGCTGGTGAGGGAGTTGCCTACCCTAAGCCTGAAAGCCATCAGTATAATACACAGGCAAGGGGCAGAGAGGAAGAGGTACTTCTGGGCTTTTCTGATGCAACTGCTTTATGTGGGAAAGTGATGCTTAAGGTGTCTGGGGCAGGGGGTACAGAGAAGGGAGACCAAACACAGAGGGCAATTATGTGAGCTGAACTTCATCCTGAAGGTAGGTTTGCTGAGCATTTCCATTTTCCCCATGGCCCCTGGAAGGTGTGGAGGCTCCCCCTGAGGCGCTAAGCCTCGGGGTAGTGGGGAAGGTAGGAGGCTGTGAGTAGAGTGGCAAGTCTGTCTGTGAGCAGAGCAGAGCCTAAGCCCATAAAACAAAGGCAATTCACTTGCGAACTCATCTTGGCAACACTTGACAATTGGATGAAAGTACTGCTACTGTCCTAATAAGAAACACCACTGACATTTCCTGCATGCTTCTTGTATCTGTCGCTGGGCAAGCCTTGGCTGCCAACCCATTAATCCTCACAGTAACTATGATGCATGGACTACTTTGGTCCACTTACTAGATGAGAAAATGAGGACAAAGACTAAGCAACTTGCCCCTGGTAACACTGCTGCTAAATAACAACCAGAGTCCATGCATCCAGCCTGTGTAAAGTCCTTAGCCCTCGACCAACCAAAGGAGGTGTAATTGGCTTGGCTTAATCTTATTCTTACGGTAGTTTTGGTAATTGTAGTTAGAACAACTAGTCTTAAAATATTTCTGTCACCCCCAAAAGACCTCTCAGCCCTAGAAAAACCACTGATTACTTTCTACCCTGATTTGCCTTTCTGGATTCAATGGGACCAGGCAGTTAGTGTCTTTCATACCTACTTTTGAAGCTTGCCCATGTTGTACATTGCCTGTATTTACTTTGGATTGTATTGCTGAGTAGTATTGTAGGTTTCTATCACCTTTCCTTCATTCAAGAGTAGATGGTTGTAGACCATGTTCACATGCAGCTTTGACTACTTGTGTGCATGTCTGTATGTGGACCTGTGTTAACTTTTTAAGAAACTTTCAAACTGATTTCTCCATGTTCTTGCCAACACATGATTATCTGACTTTTTAAATTGCAGTAATCCTAGTGGTTGTGAACAGTATCTCACTGTGGGTTTGATTTGCATTTCCCTGGTAGCTGATGATATTTAACTTCTTTTTATATGCTTATGAGCCAATTCTGTATCTTCTCTGGAGAAATAATTTTTTTCACATTTTAACTTATTATTTAAACTTTTTTTTTATTATTGAATAGTAACAGCTCATAATACACTCTAGATACTGATCTTTTATAAGATAATGACTGGCAGATAGTTTCTCCCAGCCCTGACATCTTCAAAATTTTTTACATTTTATATTATTACCATCATTATTATTTTGTCACAACTAGAGGTTGAACTCAGAGCCTCACGCTTTAGATAGGCGGGGACTCTACCGCTTGAGCTACATCTCCAGCCCCTTTTTACTCTGATCTTGAGGTAGAGTCTTACTTGCTGTCCCAGTGACCTATGCTGAGATCTTTCTACTTATGTTTCCCCAAGACGCACACATGGGATGACAGGTGTGCACCTCTATGCCCAGCCATTGCTTCCCCCGTAGCTAGGATAACAGGCCTGTGTTACCACACCTAGCCACTGGATGAGATGGGAGTCTCAAGAATGTTTGCCCAGGCTTACCTCAAACCACAATCACCACCTCCCAAATAGATTACAGGCATGAGCTACCACACCTGCCAAGTTCTTTTCAGTTCATTTAGCAATCTTCATCTTTATTAAACAGAG